GGTCCCCGCATAAGCGACAACCAAAGTCAAGTAAACTGCTCGCGACAGAAAGTCAAACGTCACACACACGTCGTGGGATCCACCTACTTCTTTCAAATACTTATAGGAATTCCTATAGGAACTCAACAAAAGTTTCAATATGTCGGCTTTCATCGACTCAACTGGACGTCAAGGATTATCAATCGTTCATATGAAACTTCAAGGAGCGAAGAAATGACTTGAATTTCTAAATATTTCAGATCCCGATCTAGTCCTCTAGGAGAGTCAAAATGGAGAAATCCTAAGGCTAGATCCTAGGATATCTAGGAAAAGGATAAGAGAAGACTTCAAAATTGAGGTCAACAAAACTCTTGGAAAAGCTCATTTTGGATCCTCCACATGTTGGTCCTGACCTCCTAGCTAAAGGCTAAGGGCTTGGGGTCACCCACATGAGTTTCCAAAAGAGACAATGAGTTTATGTTAAGTGAAATGTGATTTTAGGGTTTGAGTGTATGTGAGGTTGTTTCCAAGACCAAGCCACCCGGAGTTACCCTAAGTTCTCACTGGTCCTATTGAAACTCACTCTTAGGTCTTCACATGTTGTTCTTAATCATCCCAAGTGAGGAATGAGGGATTATGACCACCTATGTGAGACTTCACAAGACGAGTCAATAGGTGTTTAGAATTTTTATATAGGAGGGTTCCACTACTAGTCCTCTAGGATAGTCAACAAAAAAGTCTTATGGCTAAATCCTAGACTTCTAAAGAGAAGAAACCATACCTCATGAAAAATGAGCTCAACAGTTGCATATATATATATATATATATATATATATATATGTAAATGTTTTTGCGAAATTGGATAGTTCACATGTTAACCACTCTAATCGAACTAGAGCTACCAGTAACCTAAGAAAGCCAGGGACAACTTCTTATCGAGAGTTGGGGAATAGTATCATCGGTCCTATCCCCTCCCCGAAGGTCGCTGGTGTAGGAGATACTATTCTAATATCCCACTCTTAGCATACATAAGCATTATCGTCATCTCCATAGTCACCTAGACCTCCAACTTACACAAGCTCGATGATCCATATGTGGCATTAAAGGTTCTTAGGTGCCTACAAGGGTTTGAATAGCATATCTAAGACTCATACCCTTGAATATTGGGTTTCATTGTACGATAAGTAGTGATGGGGTTTTCATTAGTTATTTAAGTTAACGGGCCCCCAGTCATATCTTGGTGGGTCCTTAAAGTTTCGAGGATGATTTTCTTCAATAAATTTAGGTAAGCTTAAATGCTCTCTAAAATGTCCAAAATCTTTTAAAGGTGTTTGGAAATGGCCCTAAACAACTTTAGAATTTCCCGGACTATTTCAAGTTCATTTGGTCTTACTATATTGTTGAATTGATCAACCCTAGTTAAGTTAAATTTTTACTTCAATGTTTTTGAGTTGCACTCAATTTTCATGTTTCAATTAACCCATGAGTAAGACAATTAGTCACTTCTTTGGTATTATGTTTGAGGTTTATGTGGGTGGTCACCCCTAAGGGTAAGCTTAATGGCTCAAGGCAATCTTACTCTTTCTTCTCAATTGAACTTGAGCTTGCAGTGTTTTAGGAATACTTATGATAAGTTATGTTCTTTTTTTCTAATCCCTTTAAATGGTTTTAGATCAAACCAAGCTCACTACCAAGCTCTTAGATCTTTTAAGGAGAAATTTATAATTTTGAAAAAGTTTTATGAAATGTGTTTGATTCTCATTGAAAGATTGAATTCTAAGCATTGTTCAAGGCTTCAAATTAGTTAATTATTGACTTCCTAACTTGTGCCCCCTCACACTCAGATCATCCAAACTTAATTATCTTTCGGTCCTTAATAATTTGAATAATTACAATTATACCCTTTAGTAGAAAATAGTGTGAATTGGTTTCTACCCTTTTATGTTTGTGCTTCAATCATTTCTAAGGATTAATTATCATAAATATTACCTTTTTACCATCTGGTTTAACCTGAATTTTAATTAGAGTACAGAACTTCAAAATTACAATTTTACCCCTAGGATTTTCTACTCCAAACTCTTTTAGTTTAATCCAAGTGACTATGAGACTTTGTTGGCCCATTACTCATGAGTTAAATGAAACATCAAAGAAGAATTTACTTTTTATGGTTTTTATTTTATTTTTAATAATTATTTTTTTTCATAATTATGTTTTTTCAATGTTAATTAATTTGATTAACCAAAATATGCTTTTGTCCTTAGAAAAATTTTATTGTGTTCCAACAAGTTAGAGGACCACTTCAAATAATTTCCATGAATTTTTTTAAGTTATATTTAAATTTTTCTAACTTTTAATTGATTTTAATGAATAAATAACTAGAAAATATATTTTTATTTTGAAAATTAACTTTTATGTCTTTCATTAGCCTCTTTCAGTTCAAAGAACACTGAGAAATTTATTTTATAATTTTATCATTTCTTTTTTAATTTTATAATTATTTTAATAAAAAATATAGAAAAATACATTTAATTAGTTAAAATACATATTTATATTTTAAAAAAATTGTAAAAGCATTTTGAAGTTTTTTTCTTTATCAAGAAGTAATTTGTGATATTTTGAGACATTGTTTTTTGTATTTTTTAATTATTTTTTTTAATTAAGAAAATAGTTAAAATTGAATATTTGATTGTGACTTTAATTTTATTTTCCCTAGTTGCCCTTGATCTCAAAGAACACTCTAAACTTTATTTTGTAATTTTTTAATTTATTTTTATTTTCTATAATTATTTTAAGCAAAAATTACTATTTTTCTTAAAAAAATACATTTTTATTTTAAAAATAAGATTTTTTACTTTAATTTTTTTTTGTGGCACCTTCCTAAAATTGTTTTATTCAATCAAAGGTATTTTTGTGATTTTTTTGAATTATACTTACATAATTTAATTTTTATTAATTTTATTTAAATAAAAAATTACTTAATAATGCATATTTTCTTTAAATTCCACTTTTCATTTTGCCTTTGGTCCTCTGGCCACAATGAACACTACAAACTTGATTTCATATTTTTCTGATTTTTGTGTTAATTTTTTATAATTTTTAAGTTAAAACAAGGCAAAAATTTCTATAGAATTAAGACTTTTGATGCTAGGGGTGTCCTCTGACCTTGAAAAAATCTGAGAACACCCCTAAGGTCATTAGGAACAATCCCTCACAATTTCATGTAATTATGATAATTATTTAATTAATTATAATATATTTGTCCCTGGGGTTTTTATTTAATTTAAAATAAAATACTTAATAAATATTTTTAATTTTTGTTCCATTTAATTCTCATATGTTTACTGAGCACAGAGGTATTTTTATTTTATTTTTATGATTTTTCTACACCAAGATATGAAATTTTTGAGTTAAATATCATTTTTTGTGTTTAATTAAATCAGAAAACTTGGATTTTACTACTTATCCGACTCAGCGTCGCGTCAACCTTGTTGTCTCCGAACTCCCTTGCATTGCTCGATGACCTGACCTGCAATTACTTGTATTTTTAATCTCATTAATTTTGCCAGAAAATATGTATCATATTATATCTAACGGCTAGTGTGAACAAATGTAAGGATTTATAATAGATTTTTATACTAGGGGTACTACACAAGTATATGTATCGTTTCAAGTAATATATGATTTTCTTTAAAAACCGTAGTATTGATCCCACGAGGAATGTGGTAACTCTTAAAATCAACTTACAAAAATTCTATTTAAATTGCAAATTAAATAGGTAAGAGATCTAAAATGATATGCTTACTAAAAATTATTACTAAAGAGTTAATAAAGAAAGTAACAACTAAATGTAATAGCCTAATAAAATATAACAACGAGTTTTGACATTATGGAAAACTTGTCCCCTTATAAAGAGATTTTAATCTATGTAGAATTCACATGATTTAAGACAAATTTGATGTATTGTGACAAATACAAGCATACATTATTCTTTACCCCCTCCCAGTGTTAGCAAAGAAAATTGGCTAACTTGATTCCTTAACTTCTCGATTCAGCATCAGAACTATCTAGCCTCTCACTTGTATAGGCCCCTAAGCTTATGCCACCATGGTGGTCGAATCCCAGCATTAGGGTACTAAACCTTAAGCCAAATTGATAATAATCTAGCTTGTCACTCTAGAACTAACCAATTTTACACCCATCCAAACTTATCTCCCTATTTATTTGCACTCCCCCTTAGGTGATCGCAATGACTCTGCCTAGAATGAAGTGTGGTATCCACTAGCTGGGTGAAATCATAGCCCTCTCAGGTCATATAAGGGTATTAGTGTAACTTCACCGTATTGTATTTTATCCTATATAAATAGAAAATTCATTTCATGTATTAAAGGCTACACATTATTGTTTATTACTATGCACTATTCCTTTTCTCGCTTTTCTCTGAAAAAAATATTACATTGTAAGGACAACAGTCCGGATGTAATATTTTTTTTTCTTTTCTCTCTTCTCCTACGCTATCCATTGAGATGTCGTTCACCGACAAATTTGGATTCAACGTATCAATTATTAAATATTTCAATAATAAATATTATAAATTCTTAATAACTACTAGGCATATATAAATGTAAATAAAATAAAAAATAATAATTTTATTTACTATATAAATAAATTTTTCATGACTAAGGGGCTTGACCCCAAAAGAACTCTAATTAAATATTAAGTTCAAACAAATTTTAAGATTATAAAATATATTTAAAAAAATATAATATAAATTATGATTGATTTTCTTTATATAATATACATATTTAAGAGAAAAAAGCAATCATATTTCCACAATAGAACGAATATTTTTCTGAGAAGGATGCAATCTAAAACATAATATTCCCAAAACAAAAAAGCAAAATAATCTCTACAAATAATAACACATTAAATAACATACACTTTAAAGGCAGAAGACCACGTACAACCCCAAGAAAACATACATAAATTTTAATAATAATTTATTTATATAGAACCAAAAATCGGAACGGTAGTCCTCCCCCCTGCCTTATTCCATCATCAACCGGTTCCCGGCTGAAAATCACGCACGGTCAGCAACGGTCCACGTCATATCCCCTTCAAAAATCCAATGGCACACCTCAATCTTCCCCGGTCCGGGCCCCAGCGCCACGAATGCCCCGTGAGTCGGACTCCAGTCTGACGTGTCTATGTGACAGATGGCAACCCCTTGATTGATCTTCTCCTTCGTATCAACGGCCAGGATCTCCGCCACATAAACGCGTACGCGCGGCACCGAGTGGCAATAATAAACCATGTAGGGGAACAGGCTCTGGTGGCAGCTCACCGACTTGGTAACTTTACCGCCGTTCACCCCCCTCACATTTCCGATAAGGATGTTCCCCTTCGACCCCTTCGTGTTCGCCGTGGATCGCACCTCGATGTCGTCGCCGAGCACGGCGACGGCGAAGTCGATCATGTCCTCAACCGATGCTGCACAGCGCTTCGTCTCGCCGCGGCTCGGAGCGCGCTCGCAATCTGCTATAGTTGAATCCACCGCTTTACCCATGGCGGTGTCTGGCAAGATGTGGAAGATTCCGTCAACGGCGACAGCGGAGAACAGGATCTTACCGGCGATCGAACGCGGGAGAAACGATCGCGGCGGCATCCGGTCGCGAATGTCCGGCATCGGCATCACAGTCCCCTTCTTCAAGTTTCGTTCACGAAAGAACTTCCCCGGCTCGACGAATCGTTTCGCGGCGGCTTGTTTCATTGCTGCGATCGCGGGTGAAGTCGAAGAGGAAGAGGAATTGTGATATTCTTTGAACTCAATGCCGGTTTTGGCATAGGATTTGAAGCTGGTGTTATCGGCGAAGTATTCCTTGAATGTGATTAGGTCATTGAAGGAACCCTCACCATAGCCCTTGAAGTTATCGCTGCTGGGAAAAGTAGAGTTTCCGTAATTTGTGAAGTCAGCGGTTCCTTCGTTGCCGCTTTTTTCATATGAGGTGAAGAAATTGTCTCCCGTGTCTCCCACGTTTGATTGATCACGATAGCTGTTGAATTTATCGAATCCGACGTTGGTATCGTTTCCCCCATTCCCTCCATCGCCGTACGACCGGAAATTGTTCTCCGGCACATTCCCGTTCTCTCCATACGAACTGAAGGTATCGTTTCCCCCATTCCCTTCCTCGCCGTACGACCTAAAATTGTTCTCCGGCACATTCCCGTTCTCTCCATAAGAACTGAAAGTTTCGTTTACCGCATTTCCTTCCTCGCCGTAATGTGTAAACGCACTTCCGATCACATTGCTGTTATTCGCATAGGAACTGAAATCAGATGTTCCGCCATTGCCGTTCTTCCCGTAGCTATTGAACGACTGGTTGCCGACGTTCGTTCTAACGGAATACTGTGAAAAACGTCCTTCGCGGCCGGTGCCTTCTGCGGCGTAATTAGTAAATTTAAGGTCAGGTACATTGGAGAATTCATCGTAGGCAGATAAATCGTCGGTTCCGCCGGCAGTGTTTGTGCCATAAGAGGTGAAATTTGCGGTGACGGCATTGCCATTGTGATCATAGAAGGAGAACTTGTCATCGTGGCCGGCAGAGTCACGGCCGTAGCGGCGGAAGGTGTCGAGGGGTACGTTGATGTTATCAGAGTAGTTTTTAAAGGAGGAGAGGCCGTCGGCGGAGCCAGTACCATAGTTGGTGAAGCTGGTGTCGCGGGGGTGGGAGGAGAGGGAAGGGGTGAGGTCTGTGGGGCAGAGTAGACCTGCGGCGGAGCAGAAGGAGGTGAGATGGGAGGAAATAAGTGAAGGATCGGAGGCGGCGAGGTTGAAGAATGTGGTGGCATCGGAGGCTGAAAGAGGGGTGAGTTTGGAGAGTAGGAACGAAGGGTGAGGAAGATTGTTGGGGATTTTGCGGTTCCAATAACGGATTAAGGCTGCTTTTTCGGTGAATGGGTTTGGGGATGGGGAAGTCAAAGCGGGGGATGAAATGAGGAGGAAGAAGAAGAAGAAGAAGAGGGGAACGGCCATGGAAGTAAGGGGAAATGAATGCTGTGTTGGTGAGTGAGCAGAGGCGATGAATTGGCTCCATATCCATATGGAAGGAAGGGGAAATTAATGCTTTGTTGGTGAGTGAGGATAAGAAACAGGGAAAGTTTAATGCTGTCGCACATAATAGGCCTGTTTATAATGAAAATGGGACTCCAAATCCTCGCTAAATTTTGTTTTATTTTAATTTAAATTTAATATCCAATTGAGTTCTCATTATTATACCTCACCCAATTTTTATTCTTTTAATTTAGATAATACGATTTATAATGTACTACTCATTATTTCACATAAATAAATAAATTGTAAAATAATATTTCACGCTCAACAATTATTCCAAAAAAAAAAAAATAGAATGATAATTTTTAAATATGCTATAAATAAGCTCTTATTTTCTCTTTTATCATGTGCCAAAATTTACTAAGCAATAAATTATGTTTCATATATACATTAAAAGAACATTGTCATTGTCGATCCTAAACCCGGATGTGAAATGTATAGGGTTACGTTAGTTAGTCGACAAATCGACAACTAGCGTAAAACTTGTCAAAAAAAATCATGACATGAATCCTTTTGATCATTATGTAAGTGCTAGGGCGTCCCTTGGAAGCGACGCGCTGTATAGTCTGAATATAGTGAAAAGTGCGCAAGGGCCGCTACACCGGTGTCTAGGTCTAGTGTCAAATAAGCAAGAGTTCTCACATTACTAGGGCCGTCAAAACGGCTCATTGTTCGCGAACAGCTCGTGT